TCTGCCTCCCGAGTGCTGGGATTAAAGGCGTGCGCTACCACCGCCCGGCCCACACAGCTTCTTTTTACCTGTTATTAATGTCCACAATAATAAACTTCCATGTGAGTGGGGGGGGCATGTGCTTGTTGATATACATGTATTCACATGTGCATTTTCAGGTGGCGTCTAGAAGTCAACATTGGGTATCTTACTCAATGTTTTTTCCTCTTGATTTTTTGAGATATGTCTGTCGCTGAACCTGGAGCTATCTGACTGGCTATGGACTAGTTAGCCAGTCTCAGAGAACCCTGCTGTTTCTGTACCCCAGGATTATTAGCATGACGGGGTTTGTTTTTACATAACACTTTATTGATCATTTGAGAATTTTACATAATGCACCCCATCACCCTTACTTCCCAGTCCTCCCAGGTCTGTCCCTCAACCCTTGTGGTCTCCCCCAACAAAAGAACATCAAAAAGAAAAGTCCAATTTATATTGTTCATATAGCCACTGGAGCATTGTTAAATGCCTGGTGGCTAGCCCCTTGAAGAAAAGTGAGTCTATCCCCGCCACCACTCTGCCAGGAGGCATCTATTATGGAGAGCTACACTTCAGCATCCTTATAACATTTTTATGTGGATGCTAAAAGTCTGAACACTCAATGTCAACCTCTGGCTTCCATTTCCTGTGCAACCCCACAGACATATGTAGCCCCACCCATAAACATATACACTATAATACAAGGATACATGGAGACCTTTCCTACAGGAGTGAGCAACAACTACTTGTACTGTGTTCCACTGTCTGACATTTCCGAAGATCTTTTACAAATTGCAGTATTGATCTCTCAAGGTGGCCTAGCTCACATGCTGTGCACTCCTGGCTACCTGAGTTTGTGATGCCTGGAACTAATGGCAGGAGAGAACTAATTCCAGCAAGTTATTCTCTGACCTCCACATACCCATGTTGGTACATGAACACCCACCCACACACATACATACACATATACACATCATACACACAGAGAGATAGGATTTTAATTGCAAATATAACGTTTCTAGAATAGAAAAGAAGTTATTTGAGTAAGAAGGGATAGGATTCAATGTCTAATCAGCACCTGCAATAGCAGGGCACTGCCCATTTTGAAGCTTTAATATGTTCATAATAACTACAAAATATGCAATATAACTCTTTAAACTGCCTTGAAAACAAAAAAGAGTAATCTTTGCACTACATCTCCTAAGCACATATCTTAATCAGAAACATTTTGAACTAGGATAAAAATTTATTATTCTAGGCTAGTGTAAGTGCCCATTTATTTCTGCTATTTAGTTTTTTGATTTATGGCAAGCTGTCTTCTTAGAAAGCAGTCTTCAATCTTGATAAAACATTCAAATTACATTAAAACCCAAATGGGTTATGGATTCCGAAGTGTCACTGTGAATCCACTTGGATCTTAGATTCCCCCAACCCCAACATTGGGAGAATCTAAAATCCTTTCAAATCCTGGCATGTCTTGGAGTCCAAGGGTTTAACCATTCTAAGTTTAAACACTGAAACCCTGGATTCTACTGAAAAACTATACTTCCTCTGCCCAAAAACATGTCTTTGAAACAGAGAGCATAAGCATAGTCTCTCAAATTCAAATTGTTTTTTATCATGACAAAATATTTAAAGTAATTTAAAGAAAAATAAAATAATGAACTCACAAAATTAGATCTCGTACTTGATAGTTAACATCTATATATCATAGGAGTGATAGTCATAAATTTTAGAGAACATCATCATAAGCCTTGCAAATACCCATGTGAACAAGGATTCCATAAAGAAGCAGGACAAAGATGGGAAAAGGAAGTCTTCTATTTAGGTGTCTCATAGAATCTTTTTACAAACCTTACTACAACATCTGAGTGGTTTCTCGATGCCAATCATGTGGAACCCATACCCCTCGCATGACTTCCAATGACCTGACAGAAGTCCACCTCTCCAATTTCACCTCCAGTGTTCTCCAAAGTAATCCATGAATTTTTGACACCACCAACTTTCCTGTGGGTGTTTGGATAGCCCTTGGGGAAATGGTAGGGGCTTTTTTTCAGTGTATAAAATTCTGCTTTGTGTTTACTTGAGGTTTTATGTGGTGTTTTTCCTAAATTAAAAACCACATTTGCCTCACCTGCTTTCAAAACCCAAGCCAAGAGAGCCATCTCTCTGAAACGGTCCTGAAACACTCTCACAAAACTGCCAAATGCTTCTTTTCAGTTACAAAATAGTTATTATACTTTTCATAAGTTGACAGTTTCTTTACATTGAAGAATCCTTTGTGGATGAGTTCATGTCTTCATCTTCTCTCTACCTTGATCTCTAATGTGTAGTCTCTGTCATATATGACAGAGTAGATGTGAAGTACTGTATTGATCTTGTTGAATCCTATAGAATCATAAAATTCATATGGAAATCATCCCCAAATCTCTCTGGATACCTTTCAATTTTATTTGTAAAATGATCACCCTAAAATAGCTATTTTTATTGAATATTTTCTCACATCAAATTTTTCTTTTTTTTCAAAATATAATTGTGTGTGTGTGTATGTGTGTGTGTGTGTGTGTGTGTGAGTGAGTGTGAGTGCATGCATATTTACACACATGTGTGTGGACAGAGGACAGACTGCAAGAGTTGCTTCTTCCTTTCTACCCAGTGGCTCCTGGAGATTGTACTAAGGTTCTCAGGCTTGACAAATATGGCTTTACCAACTAAGCCATTTTATGCTGGTCCCCAAACTCCTTGGTTTACAAATGAGGATACATGCCTAGTTTTGTTGTACCACACCATCTGACTAGCATTAGAAAGTCATTCACTGAAACAGCCCATCTTCCTAAAAGGCAAAGCAGGGCTGCTGTAGAGCACTTTAACACGAGTGAGACACTGGGTTAAATCTACAGTACAGGAAGCAAAATGGCAAAGTTGTTCCAAAGTTACATAATAGGTAAATCTGTGCATGTGACTACAGGAAAATGTTGCTTCATAACCTAGCCTGAGGCATGAACTGAAGTTCTATTGGAATAAAGTCATTGTTATCTATTTCACAACCATAAAAAATTACTGATAAAATTATGATTCTTAATATTCACTCACATGTCTAATGACTTTATTATCATGTGATAAATAATGTCTGGTTATCAGTGAAACTTGGTCTTGAAGGAATTCCAGCTCCATTTCCTTCCTCTCTGAATGGCAGTATATATGTTGCTATGACAGAATACCTGACAGAAACAACTTAAATGAGGAAGGATTTATATTGGGCTCAGGATTTGCTTGGCTCCATGTTGTTGGGCAGAGCCTCACAGTTGACAGAAGTGTACAGTGGAAGAGAGCTAGCTGTTCTCATCACTGGGAACAGACAGCAGACTGATACAGGAGATGCTGAGTGATGATGTACTCTCGATGACCCGCCTCCACTACCTACATCCTTCAGCTAGGCCCCATATCCAAAAGTTTTCATTCTTTCCCTGACAGAACCATCAGCTGGAGACCATCC